CCACATTTTGGTTTTGATTCTGTGTTTACTATCGGAGGAACCAGTATTATGGCTCTTGGTTAAGAATAAGATTCTTCTGCAGGAACTTCAGGCTTGGAACAAGCACCTTGTGAAAATAGATAATTTTCTTTTCTAGAAATCTTTAAAGGCAAGGAAGGTATCTGAAGGCAACCCTGTTGAGGGAAGTTTTTAATGTTTGATGTTTTATCGTGTTTTTAATATTCTGTTGGGAGCGACCCAGAGTGGCTGGGGAAAGTCAGCCAGATGGGTGGGGTATGTATGTATGTATGTATGAATAAATAAATAAATGAATGAATGAATGAATGAATGTATGGGGCAACTGCTGCAGGAACTAATGTAATGCAGACCACTTATGCACTTGGGTGCAATAGTCCACTGTATTTCCCAGAAATGATTTTAGAGCAAATATAGGAAACTTTTGGCCCTTCAGATGGTTCTGGACTACAGTTCCCATCAGCAGCAGCAAGCATGGCCAATGGCTAGGGATGATGGCAGTTGCAGTCCAGCAGTTTCTGGAAGGTCGGATGTTTCCCATACTTGGCTGCAACTTTCTGATTTCACAGACGGCTTTATCGGCGTGCAGCAGATATGCTTGGATGGTATTTGTTTATATATAAATTTTGCACCCTGCCCTTCATTGTAGGGTGTTGTCACAGTCTAATAAAGCAGTTCAAATACATTGTATGTAAAATCAATCAGCAAAACATTAGAACAATTTGGTGTGATAGCATAGAAAACAAAACAAAACAATTTCTGCCATTTTTTATCCCTGGTCACTGGACTGAGGATGTTTTAGGGAAACATGAAGCTGTCGCTCAGACTCTGAATTTGGGCAGTTCTTAATTCATGAATAGGCTCTTTGATCCCATAACCAATCCCCAGCGTCATGTGGCACAGAAAACCAGTGCAAGGCCATAAAAGCCATATGATTGAACTCTTTTTCAACTTGAAACAGCCCTAGCAACAAGTCAGGCCTGTGTTGCAGAAATGCAAAGCTTTTGGTCATAATTTGCAAGAGGGTAGCCAGGAGACAATCATACTTTGGTTCTCAAAGGAAGCCTGTAAGTCTAAGTTCATGATGCTAGGAATTAGCCACACATGTCTCTGTTGACAACCATGGGTGCATAATATGCTTGTGGCATCTTACAACTCAGTGGGAGATCAGCTAGTTTGATCCCCCCCCTTGCAGGTTCTTTCCCCCTTTCAGGAGGAAGGGGGGTTCTTCTGGGGGCAGGACCCTGCCTCTGGGATTACGAAGGCAGAGCTACAGCCATTTCCTGAAGTGGCAGAACCTCTCCCCAAATCCCAAGTCAGCTGCTTGGCCTCCAACAGGAAGGCAAGGCTCCCTTGGTGCTCTGTGAAAGAGCTGGGGGGTGGAATGAGGAGCTGGAGAGGGAAGGAAGGAACCAAAAAGGCTTTAAGCCCCATCAGGAAAAACAGCTGCCTGGTCTTCCCTCCTTCCCTTGCTGAGGCACTGTGTCATCTTGGGCTATTTTTTTAATGGCTCTCTCAGATGTTAAAGACATCTCCTGGGAGGAGACCAGCAGTGAGCCTCACTGAACCCATTCCTTTTCACCATACCGTAGAAGAACCTGTTATGTACTGAGTTGAATAGGATCCATAAGGCAGCAGTCTGATTGGTCCTAGAACAATAGGATTCAGAATGCAGCAGTCTGATTGGTCCTAGAACAATAGGATACGGAATGCAGCAGTCTGATTGGTCCTAGAACAATAGGATTCAGAATGCAGCAGTCTGATTGGTCCACAGGAGCCACTGCAATGCGCTCTACGTGGGGCTACCTTTGAAGGTGACTCGGAAACTACAGCTAATCCAGAATGTGGCAGCTAGACTGGTGACTGGGGGCGGCCGCCGAGACCACATAACACCGGTCTTGAAAGACCTACATTGGCTCCCAGTACGTTTCCGAGCACAATTCAAAGTGCTGGTGCTGACCTTTAAAGCCCTAAACGGCCTCGGCCCAGTATACCTGAAGGAGCGTCTCCACCCCCATCGTTCTGCCCGGACGCTGAGGTCCAGCGCCGAGGGCCTTCTGGCGGTTCCCTCATTGCGAGAAGCAAAGCTACAGGGAACCAGGCAGAGGGCCTTCTCGGTAGTGGCGCCCGCCCTGTGGAACGCCCTCCCATCAGATGTCAAAACGATAAACAACTACCTGACATTCAGAAGACATCTTAAGGCAGCCCTGTTCAGGGAAGTTTTTAATGTATGATATTTTAGTGTTTTTTGGTTTCTATGGAAGCCGCCCAGAGTGGCTGGGGAAACCCAGCCAGATGGGCGGGGTACAACTAATAAATTATTATTATTATTATTACTCAATCCAGCTCCAGGTGGAAGTGAATCCGCAACCTGATTGGCCTGCAGGTGAATCCCGGAATTAGCCAATCACGTGGGGCCCATTGTGTAAACAATGTATATAAAGCAGACATTCTGGGGGAACTTCCATTCCTCCTCACTACTATGAGCTGAATAAAGAGCATGAAATCCACACTCGACTCCGAGTATATTTCAAACCTCTCCCTTCAGTTTACACAACTTGGGCAAAGGATTCTCTGAACAGGGATGGGAAACCTTAGTAAGTCCAAGGGATGCATTTCTGTTCTGAGGGCCACAGGCCAGTGCTAGGCAAAGGCCAGAGGCAAAAGTGAGCAGGAAAATGGTAGGCTAGTTTCTGTGCACTCTCTTATGCCCCTCTCTGTCCATCTAGGCAAATAAGAGCCATTACCACAGTTCCACAGAAGCCCATTCTAGGAGTGTCGGAAGCAAGGCTACTGAAAGGTGTGGCCTGGGGAAAAGAGGTGTGACTGTGACTTGAGGAGGGTCCCAGGAGCCGGACAGAGAGTCCCCCCCCCCACATTTGGGCTCTACGTCTGAGGCTCCTCACCCCTGCTATCGAAGATACTATTTTGAAATATTTTTTTGAAATACTTTATTGGGTGTAGTCTTCGACACCTCCCTTTCCATGGAGGCGCAGATTGCAGCTATAACAAAGGCGGCATTTTTTCATCTCCGCCAAGCTAAGCAGTTGGCTCCTTACCTCTCTCGCCCTGACCTAGCCACTGTGATCCACGCGACGGTCACCTCCAGACTGGATTATTGTAACTCGCTCTACGTGGGGCTGCCCTTGAGACTGACCCAGAAACTCCAGCGGGTGCAGAATGCTGCAGCGAGACTCCTTACGGGGTCCTCGCTGCGGGATCACATTCACCCACTGCTATACCAGCTGCGCTGGCTCCCGGTGGAGTACAGGATCAGGTTTAAGGTGCTGGTTTTAACCTTTAAAGCCCTATACAGGGCTCGTACCTATGGGACTGCCTCTCCTGGTATGTCCCACGGGGGACCTTACGGTCTTCAAACAAAAACATCTTGTCCTGGGTCACAGAGAGGTTAGGCTGGCCTCGACCAGAGCCAGGGCTTTTTTGGCTGTTGCTCCAATCTGGTGGAATGCTCTGTCACAAGAGACTAGGGCCGTGCGGGACTTGACATCTTAACGCAGGGCCTGCAAGACGGAGCTGTTCTGCCAGGCCTTTGGCCAGGGCACAGCCTGACCCCCTCCTTTGGCAATCCTCACAGAACTCTAGCTCAATGGTTGCCATTAATCTGATTTGAACTGATTTTATAATGAACTGATTTTATAATGTTGTATCATTTTACTGTTGTTAGCTGCTCTGAGCCTGGCTTCGGCGGGGGAGGGCGGGATATAAATATTATTATTATTATTATTATTATTATTATTATTATTATTATTATCACTTGTACAACTTGTATACAGTGAGATTACACAAGCACCCCCCACTCAGCTCTCTTAGTCTTAATTCCCCTCGTTTACTGACGCACCACCACCAAACCCGAAAGTCAGTTGCCCTGTTGTTATCTTTTCATTCAGCAGCCTAACAGCCCATGGATAGAAGCTGTTCTTTACCCTGTTGGTGTGACTAATCATGCTTCTATATCTTCTGCCTGAGGGCAGGAGATCAAGAAAGTGCCGGCCAGAGTGTGAATCATCCCTGAGAATTTTCCTCACTCTCCTGAGGCAACGTTCTTCCGCTGTTTCATCCAGCAGATTCACGGGACAGCCCATAATAACTTGTGCTGTATTCACCACCCTCTGTAGGCACTTCCTATCAGATGATGTCAAACCAACGTACCACACCGTGATGGTACGTTGATGAGTATGATACGAAGTATGAAAGGATACTTTCTATTGTTGACCGGTAGAAGGAGATCATCAAATGTTGATTGACATCGTTCTTCTGCAATACTCTGAGGAGATGGAGTCTCTGAATACTACTACTTTCTGAACGAGCCATTATAAATTAACCAATGCTTTCATGTCAACTCGCTTTGCGTCAAGCTTTGAAATTTTCAAGGGCGCAAATTCACACATTCACCTACAAGTTGTCAAGCGATGAGAGAAATTGACATACATGCATTGCGTCTACAAGTATTTTGAGGGGCTTTGAAAAAATAAGCAGAAGAACATAAATAGAAGCCTGCTGGAACAGAACCGAAACCCATCTAGTCTGGTATCCTGTTCCCTTCCTACCCAACCACATGCCCATGCCTGCAAGCAGGGCCTAAGTGCAGCTGTGCTTTCCCTGCTTGTGTGTCCCAGTCGCTAGTATTCGGATGAATACAGAATTGCTTTTTTTGCAATTCTGTCCTATCCTGGAATTGGGGGGGGGGGGAATTACTGGACGTGTGTTCTTCAGGAAATGACTGTGTCCTGTTGTGGATGGCTAGGCCTCATGGGTGTTGAGTGAAGTTATCAGCAGATTGGCTGGAACCACGAGGAAGGAAAGGTGGTGGCAGCAGGTGGTGGCAGTCAGTCACAGAGACTCAGGAGCAGGTGTTGGTTTTATTGGCCGCAGGGATCAGGCAGAGTCTGGGTCAAAGTTAGGTTAGGCAGATATTCTCCATTCCATTTGGTAAACCTTACACAGATCTTACACCACACACATATTACGTGTGTGTGTGTACACATGTATGTGTGTGCTTACACACGCACACACACACACACACACACACACACACAGAGAGACAGACACAGTTTCTATTCATTCCATTTATTTCCTCCCCTTTTTTCTGGCAATATACATATTTCAGTCAGCATTAAACTGCTCATCTTGGCTCTGTTTAAAAGAAAGAGATCTTGATTTCAGCTTATACACACAATCATTTTCTAAAAGTAATCTTGTGAGATTTTAAGGATGGTAAAGGACTTTTTTTAAAACACACACACACAGTTAAATTGTATGTGTGCACTGCCGTAAGAGCAATCTTTGCTAGTTTCAGAAATGCAGCTCAGAAAGATGGCACAAAGCATATGCACTGGTGCTGCTCCTCAACAAGTACTAAGCAAATGCCGAATTGCCACATTATGTTTGAAATGTCTAAAGAGTGTTATTTGTAAGATTACCCAGTTAAAATTTGTTTGTTTGTTTGTTAAAATCTGGGTATGCCAGAACCATGGACAGCTCCAAGTCAGCAAAACAAGTTGCTCTGAAGAGCTCAGTTGATGCTGTTATATTTTGATACCCACCATGATTGTTGTTATTTAGTCCTTTTGCGAAGGCATGGCTATTTCTTGACACAGCTGTTCATACCATCTTGATGTACAAAAAAGTGTGAGGTTTTGGGGCAGCTGGTTTGATGGTTTCTCACAAGGCTCAAGATACCTACTGAGATATCTGAGCTACTGGTTATTTTATTTATTTACCTTATTTATGTCCTGTTTTTCAGCCTCACAGCAGGCCACCAAGAGGGCTGACAATTAGAAAATATTAGTAAACATAATGTGATTTTTTCAAATGGCAGTGGTGACTGCTAAATGCTCTGGAGGGACAATGGTGTCAAATGATGTCAAACTCATCCCTGGATAATTACAGGGTCTGGGTACTAATGGGGCTATCATTTTCCCCGAGGACTGTTTCCCATAAACAAATTAGGTCTTCATTGAACTTTGTGGACTTCCAGATCTAGTTGTTGCTTGGCAGGAATCAAATTAACCAAGGCTGTTCATATGAATATTGTGTATCTTGAAATACAATTGTTAACAATTCTGTGTATTTTGAAAACTGGACTGCTCTAATTTTGTATCATACTTTTGAAGACTTGATTCCAGCTTTGCCTATGAGGTTCGGGGGTTTCAGTTCTTATGGGGCAATCTCCTTTTTTGTGTTTTGTTGACTACTTCCTCTGGTTTGGTGGCTGTGACTGATGGCTCTACAAAGCCACTTCTAAGAATGCAATCCTAAAACATAGTACGAAGGAGCACGACCTGCTCTTTTCTCTGACTTTGCAAAAGCTTGAGCAGTTGAGGAAGGAGAACACCAAACAAGTTAGTATTTAGAGTACAGAAACTAGAAATCTAGAAAACAGAACTTTGCAGGGACTATTCTGCATGGGAGGCTGTGTGAAGAGGCTCATACATGGTTGCAGATATTTAATCACGCCGGCACAATAGACTTCTTCCAAACAGTCAGGATACTTATAAGGTCAATTTGCTGCAACCACTTGTGGAGACACTCCACACTGATAGTTCTTCATACAGAACAGCACCCAGCAGAACACTACAATTATTGCATGTAAATCATGCCATATCTTCAAAAAAAGAATAGAGGCAATCTGAGACAAAATAAGAGGCACAGAGAAGCTTTTGTGAATAGGGACATTCCAGAGGAGCTTTGTGCAAGCTTGTTAGCATTTATATAGTGCTTTTGAGTGTTTGTACATTATCTCAGTCATTGTTTCAACCAGTCTGCAATGTAGCTCTGTAGTTTTATTCTTGTGTTGCAAATGGGGAGCTGGGACAGAAAGGCTTGCCTAAGATGACTTGAGGTAGATAGACTTCTATAGACTTCTCACCCATAGGTCAGTTTCTTAAGCCATTTCACTCCACTAACTATTACGAAAGTAATGCTTTTGTTGTTGTTGTTTTAAGATCCAGGCCTGTCATTACTATGGACATCTCCATTTTCCTGCCAGCTTCCATTGACATCACAGCTCCCCAGTGCCACGATGACTTGCAGCCGGTGAACTGCCTAAACGTCACAGCCTGCTTTAGTTTCAGAGGCAAACACGTTCCAGGAACGATAGGTAAACTATTATCTTGGCATCCATTGCTGTTTATAATTTCTAAACCGATGTTTGTAAAATGTTATTTGTGTTGTTTTTGTCCTCATAAGTTTACAAACTAGACCTGTCAGTCCCGTTGTAGCTCTCCCTCCATGTTTCTCCACCCTCTGGTGTTTGCTCGCTCTCCCTTCTTCCTTCATCCAGTCTTCATGTAACCATGTTATTGTAAATGTAGACATTAATTTTGCTTTCAGCAGACACGCGTACATGGTATTTTCTTTATTGTATTTAGTGCCGTGGTGCCACAAAGCACTTCACAGACTCCACTTCAACTCATGTCAACTTGTAAACACTCTGCTTTTCCCTAAATACCTTCCAGGCTTCCTGCTTCACCTCATGATTCTTCCAAATCCAATGCACAGCCCTAGCATACACTGCAACATTTTGTTGTAGGGTTTGTTGCTTCATATAGCATGTTCTAAGTATTTCACATACGTTATGTCAGTAATCCTTACAGCAACTTTGAGAGGTCAGTATAATTACAAAACTGCAGATGCAAGAGTGAGACTCAATGGCTTACCTAAGGCCGCATACTGAGTTCATGGAAAAGATGAGATTGGAACTGAGGATTTCATGGCCGCCAGTTTATTCTCTTAGCCGCTATGCTACAATAGCTCTCAGTTAATGCAAAGACTAAGATCAACATGGATCAAGGTTTTTGTGGGGTTTTAAAGTAGCTAGAGCCTCCCCTCCCCATGTTACCAAGAGCTTTTTCTGGTAAATGTCTGAGGAATTACTTGCGTGTGATGAATTTTTTTTGTATTGAAAACCGGAAGACCAGTAGATATATTCCAGCTCTTCTTAAGAGACCCCATAAAACCAAAGGCACTCTTGGAACAAGCCTGGATTTATGCCTTGTGTTTTTTAATGTTCGCCTGAAATCTTCCTTTAAGGTTGTGTGAAAATGGCATATCTTCCTCTTAACTGGTTAGTTTAAACATAGATCTTTCTATTTAAAAGTTGTTTTTTTATAGTGCTGCAAGTATCTTGAATGTTTTAGTGGTTGCTTGTATCTGTTTAGTTCTGCAGCATATTTTGTGAATTACGGTACAAATTCCATGTGTTTTATGGGAACATGTTGAAGGCTAAAATCTTAGCCAGTCTATTTATAGCTGAGATGGGCGTACATTAACAGGCAGTCAGGCAAACAATAGCATGTTGCTATGCAGTGTGTCCTATTGACTTCTCTTTCAGAGAGAACCAGATACAGTGACTTTCTAGCATTGCTGGCTCTATATAACAGGTGGGCTAAAATTAGATATAGATATCAGTGAGGCTGAATGAATGTGGGGATGCTTGAGGAACTCATTCTTCACAGATTCTGGTTTGAACTGATCTGATCTTCACCTGCCAGCGTAACGTAAAAGTTTAGTCATATCTTAAGCCAAGCTTTTCAATAAAGTCTAGGTACAGTGGTACCTTGGGTTACGTTACCTTCGGGTAATGTAATTTCGAGTTTTGAATGCAGCAAACCCGGAAGTGTATATTTCTGGGTTTCGCCATGCACGCATGCGCAGAAGCGGCAGCTTCGGATACCGACTTTTCAGGGTAAGTACGGATCCCCGTATTTAAGTTCATATCCGGAGGGTCCACTGTACTTGTTTGACATCCATTTTACCAATATGACAGGGCAGCTGAGCTTGAAGTATAGAAAAGTCATATTGCCCATGTGATTATTCTTGATGCTCCACATCACCAGCTGCATCCCTGAGCCACATGAACATATTTTCATTTGTGTGCCACCTTTCCATAGTCCAAACCATGCTCAAGGTGGCTTAAAACATGAAAGAAATACATTGTTAGCATCCGTCTGTCTCGAGAGACAATGGAGTGTGCTTCCGGGGGTGAAGTCAAACTGCTGTTTTAGCAGCACCAAAGTGACCTTCCTGTATGGAGGTCCTGGGCTGTCCAGAAAACAAGAGACCACCTCTCAGCCTCACTGATGTGGACCAAGGAAGCGTACAAGGTGCCATCCAACATCCTTACGGATCTCACTCCTGATTTGTGTAGGGTTCACTCCTTACCCTTTTCTTCTCCTGAAGATATCCTGCAAGAAAACGGAGATTTAGGATCAGAGTTTTCCTTCTCTTAGATGGGCTACCTTCCCAGGTTGATGAGCCCCATCTACCCCTCACTTCCCTCTACATGGAAACCACCATCTTGATCATCGGACCAGCTATTGGTCTCGTCTGCTCAGTCTGCCGGAGCTTGTCTTTGCATGCAGGGGAATGAAAAAAGTAAGAATAAAATGAAATAGTATAATGCAGGAAGAAAAAGGGATTGGAAGGGAGGAGAGGGAAAGCAAGCTGATGTACTAGTTCTACTAGAATAGTTACGTAGTTCTGCCTTCGCAGATTCTGGCTGTCTTGGAGAGTACACCCCTTGTCTTCCATTGCACAGTTCTTCCCACAGACAGCTGATACGATGGCAATTGGAATCTTCCTGTTTATGTGCTGTGAATCGAAATTGTAGACGGTTTTTCAGCCTTGACAGTTCTCATGGCTGTTTATAATGAACATGAATGAAAACAACTCAAAACTAAAACAGAATCACCGTATTTTTTGCTCTATAAGACACACTTTTTCCCTCCTGAAAAGTAAGGGAAAATGTGTGTTCGTCTTATGGAGCGAATGCAGGCTGTGCAGCTATCCCAGAAGCCAGAACAGCAAGAGGGATCTCTGCACAGCGATCCCTCTCGCTGTTCTAGCTTCTGGCTTAGCCATGCGAAGCCTCTTCAGGGCAGCGGGATGAAGGCTTTGTGTGGCTATATGTGTGTGTCTGTATTCCACTTACTTATACTTACACACACACACACACACACACACAGTCAGCATATGCAACAGAACATTTCTCTGGGATTCAGAATATTTTTTTTCTTGTTTTCCTCCTCCAAAAA